AACATTAACATGATTAAGAGGTTTCTTTAACTCAGATTCAAAACATTTTATTTTTTCTGACTGTATCATTATTTCGTTCATTTTTCTGTCAGTTTAGATTTTTTTTTCAATCTTGACATGGTTATTGGAGTAAATTGTGTAGGCACTTTACGTCTCCAATACATACTGTATCAAACGCGTCTGACTTGTCGCCCCATCTATCTTATATAATTGCCTCATTAAAGTTATGACATATGTAAACGGAAGTCACCAAGACAACCGGAAGCGGGGGCATTATGTGCATCATTACAGTCAGACGCAGTTATATATCAAACGTATTGACAGCAAAATAAAACTGCACGAAATGCAAATGATTATCAATGATTTTGTTTTGTTCTGTGTTGCGTTACGTCCGGTGAACTCGTAATCGTTTCGGCGAAGTCCGTCAAAGCACGGATGAGTCCGTGGTTTGACGGAAATTGCCGAGAAGTTGTGATTGGTGCCCGAGGTTCGATGTGCCCCCGAGATAAACACGATGTATCATTTTCGTCACGACTACCACAGACTTAGATCTAATCTAATTCCGTGCGACTACCAAGTGGAAAACATGCTCAATTATTTTTTTTACATATAGAAGCCAATCAATTAAAGCACTTGTTGGTGTCAGTTGAAGCTTTAAAGAATTAGCTTTACTTATGTAATATATAAGTAAATGTGCAGGATTGGTCAAAACGTATCTGAGATGGACCAATCAGAAAACTGTTAACATAACGGGATCCTGATGACGCGATAACGTAGTCGACACACAGAGTGTAAAATCAATACGTGCGTGATTTATAGAGGTCTAGGTTGACCCCGAATGACCTTGAATTGACCTTGGTGACCTTTGATATCAATCTGCATTACAAACACGCTTGAAATACCATTACATTTCAATTTTCCTCACAGACTTGGATTATAAATGACAAGGTGCGTTAGTAGTTTTGAGGAAGCTTCGAAAGTATTACGTCACTATCCGATTTAGTCATTAATCTTTAAAATGTCTTCGCGTAGGTAAGGAATGGCAAAGGATTGCAATTAACCACAATGTATATTCGTCCACTTATGGATAAGCAAAAACAATTCCGTTACATTGTGCTTTAACTCATCCACCCCTGAAATTTCATAATGAACTATTCCAACCGCTGAATTAGAAGAGTTCAATGCGTCTTCAGGGGTGAAATATTTTTTAGGGATCGTGAATACGTGAACAATAAGGGTAAAATCCGAGAGGATATGTTTACATTGTAATCGGAACCCATCAAAATCTAAATAATATAAATATTATTTTTAGGAATAATAATGTTCCAGACAAATTCATCATACTCAACGTCAATGCTGTTCTTGTCTGGAATAAAGGGAACAGACATATTCCCTGTGGAGGTACGGACCACGGGCGTCTATCCACAAAGTACATGCTTAATCAGGAATGACACTATTTAACCCGCGAATTAACGTTATCAGAAAAGCAAAATACATACTACACATTGTTTTCCGCGTTATATCTGGGATATGGCATACTTCAATAATATTTGGATGCGCAGGGGCTTGAGAATTAACCAAAGTATGCATGTTTGGACCTCTCCTGATGTGTTTAGAGAATTGTAAGTCATTTCAAGGGTTTATATCAACCCTTGGAAAAAGAAATCACTCTCCTACGAGTGTTTCTATATGTAGATGCACGTCTAACAATAATCTCTACCATCAGGAGTGACAGAAACATATGTACTGTGATTAATTCTTAAGCCCCTGTGTTTGGGTTTAGTACCATTTCATCGTTTACTGAACATTTAGGATATCTCCCGGTCAAATTTACAACTATAGAATCTTTTCAATTCCAAAAGGTTGAATAAGCGAGTTAAAACTTAATGTATATGCTGAAACTTCGCTATATTGTCACCAGTCAACAAAGTTTGGCCTTATAAAGGATACGGTGGTATATGGCGGGAGACGTTTCTGTTAAGTTTACATTAAACAAATTAATAGTGGACCTTGAAATATGAAGATAGCGGGATACAAAGTGACATACACACGAGTGGCGTTGTATCGAAGGTTAACGGTACACAGTGCTTGTTCGAAATTGGGGGGAGGTTTCACTTCTTAATGTACCATTTTTTTTTTGTTTCTTCCAATCGTCTTGTTTTTCAAGAATGAAAACAATTCCATCTATTTCTTTTGGAATCGTGAAGGGACAGAAACAAGCTATAACGTGCATTTGACATTTGTATCAAATATACATCGATACTTGTTCAAAACAAAGACAAAATCACCGGTAAGTCGAATTAAAACGAGGCCCTAGGTTTTCTGCACGGAAGAATATCGTAGAAAACATTGGTGTCCCGGGTAACGGAGACATCCTCCTGCCGTGATTCTTGACTTTTGTGACGCGCGGATTAATCTTAAATTCCTCACTCGGTTGATAAATGAGAGAAGAAGTAGCAGCCAGGAATTTTATCTGGTGTAAGATGTGTCTCAAGGTATCATCTTGTTTGCTTGCTTTTGTTTCCTAAGCAATCATTTCAGTGACATCCGATTTAAATCTAAATTATGAATTATGTCAAATTCCTTGTGTACACTAAGCGAGCTCCCGGTTGTGCAACGGTGGCCCTGGGCTTAAGCTAGGGTCTACAATGTCGATAAGTGGGTGTTTACTTTTGAAACGTATCCACGGAAGTCCCGTAATGTTTTCAACTTCTGACTTCTAACTGGCATTTCTGTGATTTTTCGGAACGGAAGCAGATTGATCCATGTGTGTTTATTTTGTAAGAATTGCATTTACCTTTATAAAACATAAATCACTATCTTGAATTATTGACGAAAACATTTTTTTTTTACTATCAGCTTGGTAGCCTGGAACTATCAGCTTGGTAGCCTGGAACCGGTTGTAATATCATTTTATCATGATATTTTTAACGTTCAACATCATCTAAATTTGGTCACAATAACTATACAAACTATCTTTAAAAACTTTTTCTTCGAGGTAAACTTACCAAGACATCATCGAGGAGTTGGGATGTGTACTAGTTTACATTAATATCCTTTGATTATTTTTGTATTCTTAAAATAAGCTCTCGAACGATATTCCAACAAACAAGATCCAGTAACGGATTCAGAACTTCTGAAATTTGTAAAACTGTATCTGTACCGACCCCCACCCCCACCNTTGAAAGGAAAGGGGAGGGACTGCTGTTTTATTTATGATATGAGTTTAAAATTAGATAATTATTTTGTATACAGTTATATACTATTATCTGAAAACTAAGAACTACATGAAATAAGGCTAATCAGGATATGTTGACGCTTTACGATCATTATGTAACGACTCTAAACACACTTAGTTATAAAACCCTCTCAATACACAAAAGGAGCTTGTCGATAATTGTGCTCAATTCCAGCTTATACCTGGTTACGATGTGTATTGCACCACGGTCGACTTAAAGACGTAACGACACTTATCGCTCTTAATACTTATCCTTAAAATGTTACACAACACTTTCTCATTCATAAACATTTTGACACTGATCCATTTTATTGTTAAAAGAATATTGATTTACTGTCGTCTCCATTAAATACTTATATAATTCTAATTGATAAGTTTATTATATATAATATATATATCCAGATTTTGCCACCCAATACGTACTCACGTGTATATGTATATGGTTTTTTTTATTTTACCACTTCGCACTTTGACCTCTAAAGGGAATTAACCAAGATACGTCGTCTCCAGAAAGATTAACATCCTAAATCCTATTTAGGTTTTTTAAAGTCTGTATGATTTTCGTTCCTTTGTGTTGTTAATAGTTACATGTATCAAAAAAGTTAACGTTAATTGCTTTTTAGATTTAATGTTAACTTTACAATATTTCTGGTAACATGTTGGGGTTTTTTAAACAGATTGTGCTGCAATATTATATATTTCTTATTGAACACTTAAACTACGTTGTACCGACATACGATTACAGTTATCTTTAAAAAAATCTCGTCAAAACATTCAACAAAAAATATGTCTCTTATACAACTCTGTGTTTTATATTTATATAGTTGAAACTAGGATAAGCGTGATAAAAATCTAGAAATAACACTGATTACAAAAAGAAAATCTCGTTCGCTCCTTCTGTTTATGCTAACATAAGTTCAATTAAAAACAATTTACCAATATTAAAAGGTATTTCTATATACGGCAGTAAGATGTAAGCGCCGAGACCAAAAACCCGTCTAAGCCCTGTGAGAATACTTGTATATATCTATTTCAGTGTTCATTGGGCTGTTTTTTACTGGTGAGTTCGGATTTTCGAAAAAATCGAAGAAGACCATATTATTTCAATAAAACAATTGAAACTAATCACCAGTGTCCATTTCAAATCCACGTGACTTGATACATTTGTCAAGCTTCAAGCTGTTAAAGGGAGATAAGTCGTTCAAAAATGAAAGAAGAACTTGCACAGTACATTACGTCTAAAAACTGAACATCAGTCGATATTGTCACCTCTTCAAGGGACGTCTAGAACATGTGAGCTTGGATAACACCGCGTCATCAGTCGGTACTAAGCTGCGATATATGTGGGCAAAAGATGTATTTATACATTTTTTAATAATTATAACTTAATCTACATGAGCATTTACAAAATAATAAATTAAAAACATTGTATCAGAATGATAAATAAGGGCTTAAATAACGTATTCTTTGCATGCCGTCTAATCAATTTTATTTCACATATTTTGTTTTTATCAGTTTGGACAATGTTTTTCGCCGACAACTATCTATATCCGGTTGAACGATGTATAGCTAGATTAACAGTTGGGTTCTGACCTCGAAACTGGTTTCCTTAATAGTGCTGCTAAGTTGAAATATTTGATGTAGTAAATATCAGCAAACAATGCCTATCACCTTTCAGTAACAACATCGTATGACGTCACAATATCTTTAAGGTCAATGCAGCTTCTATGACGTCATAAGTGCAGTTACGCAATCGCGCGATTTCTACCTGACACCAATGTGATACACACGCATGGCAACGTCTGAAAGATGAATAAAGCGCCTACGTCCGCCAATCCGGCGTCGGAATCCGGTAAGCGTTCCGAAGGTCAGGTCTCCAAGCGTTCATCGGCTAATCAGGCTAAGAGGCGATCGTCCGTCAATCAAGCATCAAAGCGTTCGTCTATCAACCAGGCATCCAATCGTTCGTCCGTTAACAAGGCTTCGAAACGTTCGTCTGTGAATGCCGCCAAAGGTTCTTCTATTAGCGGTATAGCTGAGGCAGCAGGTGATGAAGGTGATGCGGTACCTGCCCACAATGTCAATCGAGTGCCTGTGTTCTCAACCGATCCTAGGTCGGGGATTCTTCCCGCACATTTCCCAAACAAGGAATGGGGGAGTGCACACAGAATCCTGCGTGAAAAGGAAGTAGACGAATTCCTAGCGGTTCATCCCCAAGTCTTACTGGATTTCATCTACGATACGGTTGAACTAGACAGTCTAGAGGAACTGTTACGTCAGAAGAAAGGTGTCATTGAAGATGAAGATGAATCTCAGACGGAGAGAAGTAGCCCTCAAACTCGGAAGCCCTCGGGTTTATTCGACCAGAAGTCCACATGCCACGTAGGTCGGGGTCTGATCACGGCCATACAAAGGGACGAATCGCTCCACGGGATTCTAGAGGATTACTGCCATATCTTCTCCCGGATCGTCCACGCGGACTCACACAAGTTGTACGTCCAGGATGGGCTGGACAGTAAGGTATACTTCCTGTTGGAGAACGGACACCTGGAACCCTGTGTCCTTAAAGGTACGGTGGCTGGGAGGGCCCTGAAGAAGAAAACATCAGTGTTGATTACAGATATGTCCACGGATCCGAGGTAAGTGTTTCCGAAAATGTCAGGACTAGGGTTACACATCAGTCCAGCTTTTCACGTTCAAATCACACTATCAGTTCATTATTTCAAAAAAATATATAATTAAAGCACTTACTTGCTTATGAAGTACCTTCCCGAAACTCCAATTTTCGCGGGGATGTTAACCCCTACTTCCGGTTAATGTATTTGAACGCTGCAATTGGAGTGTCATGCTGCAATACAGTGTACTTAGTTAGAGCGTCGTTCAAGAGTTCGGAGGGTTCCGGGTTCGAACCCCGGTCTGGCCGTTGCTTTTCTTTTTCTCATGTTACACGATTATCGCCGCCCCTATCGCTTCTGTAAAAATGTACGGCCAGAGTAATGTTCGACGAGAGTTTTACATTAAGATAGATGATGTCCTTGCAAAATAACCTGAAAATAGATAGTTTGTGAAAATATCTAGCATATCTTCTATTTTATTAGATTAAATTGAAAAATCGTATATTTCAGATTCAAGAAACGTACGGATTGTCGCGAAGGGTTACCTGAGAATTCAAGCGTCTTGTGCGTTCCTATGATTCTACCAACAAAAGAAATTCCGGCCATCGTAGAGGTCATACGGAAGCATTGTAATCCTCCCTTCATTGAGACTGACGTGCAGATAGCCAATATTTCCATCGGATGGATTGCCGCTTGTGTAGGTGAGCATATTGGCAAAAGGTCGCTTATATCCCAGCAACACCTGATCGACTTCCTTTTGGAGAACACTAAGGAATTGTTTGATGGTGTGACGCAAACAGAGGAACTCGTCCCGAAGATAATGCGGCATACAAAAGACTTGGTCAAGGCTGACCGTTGCTCTCTTTTCCTAGTGGACGACGAGAAAGAGGAACTATATGCAAATTACTTTGACGAGGGCGCAAAATCCGGCATTGGAGTTCCGGTGTTTGAGAAGAAGGAAATGATTCGCTTCCCCAAAGGCATTGGTATTGCAGGTCACGTAGCCGAGACAGCAGAGGTTAGTTCGAGGTTTTGCATGTTATGAAGTCATATTATATGTTTTTAAATGTAACATTGTCGCATAATATTTTGTGCTTTTTAAATGGTACTAGCCGCAGGTGTTTTTTTTTCTCCGGTAACTCAGACTTTCCTCCATCACCAGAACCTGGCACGTCCTTTAATGAACATTAGATGTAATTTCATGTTTCAGGACCACGAATATACCAAGAATATGATTTTTATTAAAGGAATACAAACCAATTAACTAATACCAGTTATATATGAAACACAAATATCTTAAATTCTAAAGGTACATTTTACTTTCGTGTATTCAGTGCATTCAGAATTTACAAAAATTACGTCAATAAAAATAGCCAATGGCTAATTTGGCGTGAGCCCTGGTTCTTTTATTTTGAAGAAGCGAAAGGAACACCAACATATATAAAAGACACAAAAGGAAGACGGACGTATATAAAAGACGCGAAAGGAACACGAACATATATCTGTTCTAGGATTAAATATGTCAAAATAAGTTTTGAATATAATTCTGATAATGAAAATCAATGTCTGGTGAAATATAAATCATGTACGTTCATATATTGATCAACGGCAAATTTATTTTCGTTACAGGTAATGAACATACACGATGCGTACGAAGACCCCCGATTCAACAAAGAAGTGGATATGTTGACCGGATATAGAACACGTAGCATTCTGTGCATGCCCATCATTAACCGGAACTGCGTGAAAGGTGTCATACAGATGGTGAACAGCACGCGGTCTGAGCACTTCACGGCGTCCGACGAGAGTGCGCTTCGTATGTTCACGGCATACTGCGCCATAGCTCTGCACTACAACAACTTTTACAGCACACTGGATCGACAGAAGGTGAAGAACAAGGCGTGCATTGAGGTGATACAGTACCATACGATATGTCAAAAATCCTCGTACGTCGACCTGCTCAACGATCCCTTAATCAGAAGAAGCGAGATCCCCAAATGTTACTTTTCGTTTGATTTTTACGCACCGGCGAATTTGGAAATTCTACCAAAGTTGTTTATAAACATTGTTGAGGATCTGAGTGGAAAAAATCGATTCGAAAGTGAGAAGCTCGTGAAATTCATCTTAACTGTCAAAAAGAACTACCGAAATGTACCCTACCACAACTTCCCTCATGGGTTTCATGTGGCTCACTGTCTATGGCGCATTATTCTAACCGCTCCAGACGCCTTCACGGAGTTCCAGAAAATGGGACTGGTGGTCGCCGGAATTTGTCACGATGTCGATCACCGTGGCTACAACAACGAGTTCTTCAAGAAGCTGCAACTTCCGTTGGCAAATCTGTACTCTACGTCAGTGATGGAACAACACCATTACCGTCAGACCGTGACTATCCTGCAGACAGAGGATATCTTCTCCTTTCTGTCGCCCCAAAAATACAAACAGATGCTGTGCCTCATTCGGCAGTGTATCCTAGCAACGGATCTTGCGCTGTACTTCGGTAACCAGAAGACGCTACAGAAACTCCTGGATGAAAATAGGTTCGACATCAAGGACGAACAATGCACCAACCTCACAATGGAGCTGATGATGACCGCGGGAGATTTGAGTGGAATCGCAAAACCGTGGAAAACGAATAAATCGTCTACTAATCAGCTGTACGAGGAGTTTTACGAACAAGGCGACGAGGAGAGGAAGCGAGGGTTTGTTCCGAGGTCAATGATGGACAGAGCGTATTCGGATGATATTCCAAAACAACAAGTTGAATTTATTGACTTTATTTGCGTTCCGCTATACAGAACAGTTGTGCGGATATTTCCGGGTGCCAAACACCTCCTTTGCGGGTGTCTGCGCAACAGGCGGAAGTGGCAGAAAATAGTGGGTATTCAATCAGCTTCACAGATGAATCAACTAGGAGCACAACACAGCGAATACGAGGATTTAGACGATGACGATGAAGAAGAAGATGTGTGGGTGAACGTTTTCAATGTGAAGGAAACGTCCTGCAATCAGTCGATCGTCATAAGTGATCATTAACACACACACACACACCAAACACACACACACACACACACACACACACAC